TTTTTTGTTTATTTTATTTAAATTAGCATTGTATTGCCTAAATCGGCCTAATTAATAATGGGTCAAATAGGAACACCGGAAACACGACGACTAAATAATAATTTAACATCCCCACCGCCATTACTTTCGGCGGGGACTGTAGTTAAAAGAAGAGAAATAATATAAAAGAATGTTAAAAGTAAAGTTCTAAATATTTTACATTTGCTTATTACAAATATAGAGTAAAAACCTTTTACAAATTCTGGATCTTTTACTATTAGCATCAGCCTCGCATATTCAGAATAAAAAATAAATTCTTCTATAGAAGTTGATCGCCTTCGAGAGGATTCTTATACTCTAAACTATGATATTAGGTATATGCATAGTATAATTCAACTCAAAAAAAAATAAAACTTAATTTGGTCTAAGTCCTTAGAGATAAATCTTTTTTGAATAAAGGATGCCGATGATGTTACGACTATTTATTATAAGATAAGAAGTTTAATAATATTATGTATAATAATTAATACAGATTCTAATTTTTCTATCTTTTCAGATAATATTGTAGAGATTGTTAAAGAACTTTTGGGTATTAAAATTAATAAGAAAAAATTCACACGCTTATAGCTAATTTCATAATTCATGGACCATTAATAATTTTTCAGTCGCATTCAGTCGCAATATTTTATAGTAATTTTATTATAAAATATTTTCAGTCGCATTCAGTCGCAATTTATTAGTGGTCCACGAATTATGAAATTAGCTGTAATGGGATTACAAGTTAATCCCTATCTATTAGCATTATGGATAATATTTCTATAACAATTAGTTCAGAAAAAAATTTAACAACTATTATGGATGAATTTTCTATTGTACTAGCGGAAAAGGATAAGAATGAAAATGATAAATCTTTAGTAATTCTCAACACTTAATAGCAATATCGAGCAGGATAAGAGTTCTTAGTAAAAGAGGAATTTAAGATAACACAAAATGAAAATATAGTGATTCTGATGAGAAACACGTGATATAATTTAATATTTATATCATATCATTCCCAATATGTATTGAAATTATTTAAATAAAAAAATAAAAATTTATATGTTAAAAAATTTTTATTTGACCTTTGTTTGATGTACAAATGTTTTTGCACTGACCCATATACAAGAAACTAACTATTACTACAGTATCCTCCTATTTGTACATAAGATTCAGCACAATATCTTTACTGTAAAAAAGGAGAATACTAAAGAGATCATTTTTATAGAAAAAACTAACACATAAAGTATAGGATAATCAGACTTACCAATACTGCGAAAAAAATTGCAAATATTTATCTAAACTTAAATAGCATTTATCTAGAAAGACTTTATGTAATATTTCCTGTCTTATGTAATCAGTATAAAAATTTTTAGCAAATGAATTTTTTAGGAAATTTCTTAAGAAAAAATTTTCTAGCAAATGAATTTCCAAAAAATTTCCAAGTAATCAGCAGAAAAAAATACTGTACCTATTCAACTATCTTTAGCATAAAGTATTTAGGTAATTAGTATAAATAAAAGATTAGAATATATATTTTTTTAAAATATCAGGATCATCTTTAACATTATCATGCTATCTTTTCAGTAATAGCAAATTATAAGATTATTTGACTTGAAATTTATAATAACAATAAGATCATTTAAGATCATTTAAGATCATTTCAAGGTCATTTCAAGATCTTTTGCTAACCTTAGATTATATATACTGGCCTATAATAAATATTTAGATTTTTATCACGTGAAATTGCATCCTTATGATACAATTGGTGATTTCTTCTTATCATATATATAAATAAAGGAGATAACAAAAATATTATTTTTCACTTTTCTTCTAGTTCTTAATGTATAGAAATGAAATTTCAAAAGCTAACTGGAAATGATTATTAGTGCATATCTTACTGGTACTAAACAAACAGACATTTCTACTCAACTTAATATACCAACTAGTACTGTAAGCAATATAATAAAAAAGTATAAAGAAACAGGTTCTACTGAACCTAAGCAACATTCTGAAAGACCAAAATTACTCAAAAAATGTAATATCTGAGCTTTAAAATGTATTATACAAACTAACTAATTATCTTCTCTAAGTGATGTAACAGATAAGTTTAATATCAGTCTTAATACAACTTTACACTATAATACAATTAGAAGTTACCTTCATAATAAAGGCCTCAGAAGTTACATTGCAAAAAAAAGCATCATCTAACCAAAAAACATTGAACTGATCACTTGAAATAATGCAAAAAAAAAATTGGGTGGAGGAATGAAAACAAGTGATATGGTCAGACAAGTCAAAGTTCGCTCTTTTTCAATTAGATGGTTGAGTAAGAGTATGGAAAAGTTCTGAAGAAGCATATAATAAAGATTGTATTCAATCTACAGATAAGTTTGAAGGGGAATCAGTAATGTTTTAGATGTGTTTTAGTTAGCATGAGGTTAGACCTTTAGTTATGATAGAAGGAAATATAAATTCTGACAAATATGTTAATATTCTGGATCAGTTCATTATATAGGTTAACAATTATCCCAACTCTATTTTTTAGCAAGATGTGAATGTCATGTCATACTTTAACTTACAGTGTTTGGTGAATGAGAACACATAACATTTCAATTTTAGATTAGGTAATGCAAAGCCTGATCTTAATCTGATTAAGAATCTGTAAAACTATTTGGATAGTTAGATTTGAAAAAGGAAGCCTGTACTCAGGTCTAAACAGGAGTTAATTGAAATAGTACAAGATGAGTAGCGAAAAATCACTATTAAAACATGTCATCACCTAATTTTAAGTATATCTAATCATATTAAGCGGTAATTAAGACTAAAGGTGGTTATACTAAATATTAATTTTTTCATGATAATATTTTTTGTATTCCTTAGACTGTAGAGCAGGCAAATTTGCCTGCGAAGTTAAAAAAAAAGTGTTAATTTCTTAATAAAATATTAA